GGCGCCGCGCCCTGGCTGAGGAGGCGGGCGGGGGCGACGGTTGCCCTGAGGCGAAGGAAGTGCGAGGGAGTGTGGTCACTGAGCTGGCGTGGCAGTAAGGTGTGGGTTTTGGTTTTTTGTTTGGTCTTTTTGGTGTAGAAAGTGTAATCGTTCCTCAAAACAAGCGGAAGCCAAAGCCGAACTGAAGTATGTGGCTGCAGAATTAAACAGCTAAGATCTGGCTTCTCACATACTGCTCTGCACCCTGGTTCTGTCTGTGTTTACATGAAATGGGCTACAGTAAAGTTAAAGGGTGTGTGCACAGTTTTGCAGTAAGATACCGGCTGCCGGCAGTCTCGTGTGAAATATGTGATTAAACAAGGGGATTACAGGCTCTTGCCCAACGGGTTGTAGTTCTTGCTTCTAATTCCTCACACCCTTTCCTCATTTCACTTCTCCATTTTAAGGCAAAACATACCCTTTTATTTCAATAGTATGCAATTTATGATTCGTCATGGTTGTCAGTAATCTTCCTTTGCTGAAGAAAGGAAAAACAAATACTACTACCATAGGGAACATAAGAATATGTTTTATGAGTCACTGAGGAGGTCACTGTAAGAAGTGACAAAATAAAACCCGAGTCTGGGACACGTGCTCCGCAGACCCAGGGATAAAGCTATGTTACTTACACACTTACCGAGCAGAAGTCTCCGCAGTTTTGCATTAAGGTAGGTGTTAGCAGAACAAATGCTTATTTCACCAAAAAATGTTATAAATAATAGTGTTATTTCTAAGTGAGAATATAACAGAGCATGCTGGGAGTCCTGGCGTTTTTCTTTTAGGTTAATTTATTTGTGTTTAGATGCTTTTATGGAACATGAAGCTAAAGCAATACTGAAGATTTGGCATTGGAGTTTGTGGAAGAGTAAAGTAAAACTCTTACAGGAACCATGACAGAGGAAGCTTTATAACTGGAGATTGTCTTTCCTCCTGATGGATGGTAATTTTGACTGTAAAGCAGATTCTCTAGAAGTTCACGCATGTTTTAGACATGAAAGGCAGTATTAATCACTGTTATAATAGAAATGTATTAGTTCAGGATAAACAAACATTGCAAATGAGTAAGTGTATGTATCTGGCTGTGGGATAACAGGATGTATTTGATTCCTAAGTAAAATGACTTTAACTGATCTTGGCACTTTAATTTTCTGATTTTCTTTCCCCTTTCAATGATTAATTTCACTTATATTTTCTTACTGCAGTAATGTCGCAAACAGTGTTTTGGAACACAATTTACACAGATAGTGAACAACAAATAGAGATGGGCTTCTACTTGAAACTTCAAGTTTCACTGAAGTTCGTTCTTACTGTAAATGGAGTGCCATCATCTTTGTAGTGGGTCTTTGATGGGCTTTAGAAAGGACGCTTGCATTTTAACAAATAGATGAACATAAGAAAAGATGGAAGGAAATAAACGCATTATGTGAATTCATTCGACTTATTTTAACAATACAAAAAAGTATGCATAACATTGGGGAATATATTCGTCTTCTTCCAGTGATTGTACTGGTAAATCTGTGTGGTAAGTATGAGGGCTAATGGCGTACAGTTAATGGTAATATACTTTGCTTTTCAATTTATCCATCTTTATCCATCTTTATAGGCACAACTATAAAACTCAAACTGTGCTTATGACCAGGTGAATACTGTCATTTAGTGAAAGAGATACTCCCCAATAATAGTCTCTAAGTTATGGCAGTTATGACATACTAAAGAAAAGTACATCTTGTTCAGTTATTCATGAGTTACAGGTATGTTATATTCAGGCTGCTAAGCTGTTTCATTGCAATACATGAATACGGGGTGGAAGCAAGGGCTTACTTCAGGATTTTATGTAATCCTAAGGATGGTAGCAAAATCTTTCCTGTTCAAGACAGGCAATGATGTGGCTTGTATATAACAACATTTTAAGGTGTAATTTGGAAACCAGATGTTAACACTCTTGTCCATAGTGACAGCAAAGGAGAAAGAATCTGTGGAGTGCTATAAGGCTCATAGGCACAGCAGAAGAGAGTATGATTTGTCATGTTCTGTTGTGTACTGTCCGTACCGTCTTTCCCTTCCTTTTTCTGACTGCTTTTTTTCCTACCCTAAACTTAGAAATAAGATATGATATAAGGAATGCACGTTAAAGCAAGAATGTGTTACGGCATGCTAAACCTGAAAAGTAGATTGCAGAATTAATTCTGCAGAATGATGGCAGAATTAATTCTGTATTTAGATCTCAGCTAAAATAGAATATCTGAGCAACATTACAGAGGAATAAAGACAGGTTGTTTTATGTCTTTGCTGGGACAATAACCCAAGTGTTTGGACGTTCAGTACTGAAGTCCCGGCCCTGTTTTAATTTAAAAAGAAGGCTTGATCCACTGTCTCCATGTTCACTATATGACCCACTCACAACACAGTGGGAGCAGAAGAGAGAGGTCATTCTTCCTTTCCCATTAAACCGAAATTCAAATAAGACAAACTGGACTGTTAGAAAACAGCCTTGGTAAGAACTTGACGACTAAATTCATATAGCTAAATGACAAAACGGATTAGAATTATGCGTAAAGACTTAAATTGCTATTAAATTGAGAGAGGAAGATGTTTGAACAAGTTTTATACTGAAACTCGAAAGAAAAAATACTTGTTTTCATATTAATTTGATAAAGATAGGAAGTTGGTGAATGGGTGTAAATGAAGATTAATGTTTTTACCTGCTTTGTCTATTGCAAACCATAAAAATATGCAGTTCAAAAATATAATTAAATAATGGGGAAATGATATAATGTCGTATGTGGAAAATAAATCTGGGAGAAGACAAATGCCATTTCATAAACTGTCAGTAGATGGCACAAACAAGTTTTATAGAAAGTCTGAGTGTTCCTAAGTGTTGTTACAAGATAGAGTTACAGGAAGTTTCCTTTTTGGCTTCCCCTGGACACATTTTCTACTTTATTGGAGAGCAGGGATTTATGGTGAGAAACTTTTCATTTTTTTGGTTTTAGGCAATTGCTAGTTAGCTAAAACTGTTTTATAGTCTGCATTTATTTTGAAAATGAGCAATATTTTCCATATACGGTTGTTAACAAAAACGTATGGTGTACTTCAAGTATATTGGGAGGAAATGAGAGTAGAGTTCCATAAATAGTTCCATAAATAAATAGTTTAGTTCCATAAATTTATCCAAAGAGGCTTGCCAAATAGCAGTCTCTTTATATTAGCATTACATCCATGTAAGAGGGTTGTAGTGATTTAATGAAAATAGTTTTAATACAGTTCAGGATTGAGTCTAATCTGATGACATGTTTCATCCATGTGAACTACGTATTTTAACGTTAAGAGTTTTGTATTACACTGATTACTTGCGAAGCCCCTACCTTGGTAGTGAACCATCATAGCTCAATGCATTCTGTTCATTTCGTGTCTGTATATACAGTTGCAATCTGAAATAATTAGATTTTTCTACTTTACAAAAAAGAAGTCGGAATCCTCAGTCTCCTATGCACAGAAGTCTTTAGGATTTTGCTAATCATTGCTGACCATGGCTGTTTTTCTGCATTTGTTAGATTTCTTCGCTATGTGGCGTTACTGGTTTGTCCCCAAGATTGTCATGAGGCACTCCACAAGTTTAGGCTGTAAGTAGTACTAGATTTTAGTCAGTTTATACTGAGTGGACAAGCTCTTAAAACCTAAATTTCAATCTCTTCTCTGACCCTTTAAAAAACAGAGCATTTTCTCCCTATGTTCTTCGTTTGTGCACCCTACTGGATTGCTTCTCTCCTTATGTCTAGATAATGCTCTTTTTGTCAAACTCGAGGACCTGAGGATATTTCTGAGTGAAAAGTAATATATAAAATATAGTTTTTCCTATGTTAGTCTGCAAATTGCAGGTCAACAGCTGCTAATATCATTGCTTCATAGGGTAATCTAAACAAAATATGAAGGTATGTGTAAATAGTTTGAGTAGGAATGAGAAAGAAAATAGACATCAATTAAGCACATGTGGAAGAATCATATCCTTTTTTCACCTAGTTCCTGGGTATTGCTGAAATTTTGTCCTAGGAAGGAATAAAGATTTGATGGTAGATTTTTATTCAGCTTTTCTCTTGAAGCTGCACATTTTGTTTGGTTATATAAATACATTAGGAGTATTGTTGCCCAAACAATCAGAAGAACAGCATAGAGGATGCTGATTATTGCTTGTTCTCTGCATATGCCAAAATGTCTGTTGAGGGCTAGGAGGGTAAAACTGTATATAATTTTTCCAAATGAAAGTCTAGAAATAAGGCAGGAAAAGATCTGCCTCTCTGCTCCACTATTTCTAGATGGTTTCCAAATCTAGTTTCATACATGCTCTGCAAATTAAGAGTACGGTGGTGTCTCTGTGATTTGATGACTTGTTGAGATTTCTTAATGTAAGTTGTGTTACATCAAGGAAAATGCATATCTTATACCCAGTGATTTAAATTCTAAGAAAGCCTGCAGAATTGGGAAATGGTATAGAGACTAGGGTCCTCCAGGTAGCAGCATGAGTTCCACCACTGACAGCTAATTACTATCTCACTGTATCATCCATGTAAATCATTTGTTTCAGTCCAGGTTTTGTAGTCACAAGTCCATTTTAAAAAAAGTCTACTGAGCATAGCTTGCATCCTTCAACAGAGAGTCTGAGGAGTGGATGGCTATACTGATTTTCTCAAATTTTATACTTTCTGATCAAAGTGTGTTACATAGCCCTGGGGAGTCTACACAGTGCGTGAAATCACAGTAGCAGTTCTGTGAGTAGGTGGCAGTTGCTTATGAAATCAGACACATTTCATAAGAAACAGACTCATTAAATGCTAAACACAGCAGATTTTACCAAGTAGAAATGTTTATGTTGTCCTCTAAATAAGGAATGCCTCTCCTGAATGATAAGTGCTTTCATTGCTTTTTAAGTTAAAGGGAGAGAGAAGTTGGAACTTTACAAAATCAGTCCCTGTGATGGCTTCTGTATAGTTACTTAATGATATACTCTGTTTTTTTTTCTTTGTTGTTGTTATTGTTGTTCCAGGATTAGAACAAAGATGAACAGATAAAGAAAGAGCATTGAGCAACTGTAAGGAACCATAAAGCAATATGCTAGAGAAGATGAGATCTCTCAAGAACTTTTTTCTTTATGAGTGTCTGTTTTCATTAACTTTTTGGAACAGTGTCAGCTTGTCAGTGGAAAATGAACTCTTTACATCTGCTTCTCATAATTTTCCAGAAGCTGGTTCTGACAACAAAATCAAGAGCCTGCCACTTATGTATACAAATAGTCATAAGTCCAAAGCTAGTTTTGATTGGGTTGTAATACAAAATACTACAGAAAGCCTATCACTATCAGAAATCAAAAATGAAGATGTAGAAAAATTAATAGCTTTGTTATCAAATTTCAAAAAAGGCTCAAGGTTACAAAATCTGACATTGGCGAATATTTCAGTGGACTGGAAAGATTTTACTGAAATTCTTCAGACTGCATGGCATTCATCCATTGAATACTTAAATATCAACAATATGACACAGTTATCAGACATTGAAAAATACGATTTTAGCTATTCTGATACCTCTATGAAGGCATTGACAATGAAGAAGATTTTAATCACAGATTTATATTTTTCACAGGATGACTTATACAGAATATTTTCAGACATGAACATTGCAGCCTTGACAGTAGCTGAATCAGAGATGATACATATGTTGTGTCCTTCCTTTGACAGTCCCTTTAAATACTTAAATTTTTTAAAGAATGATTTAACAGATCTGCTTTTTCAAAGATGTGAAAAATTAATTCACTTGGAGAAGTTTATCTTGCAGAGAAATAAATTTGAGAGCCTTTCCAAGGTGAGCTTCATGACCAGCCATATGAAATCACTGAAATATTTGGACATGAGCAAAAACTTGCTGCATCACGATGGGGCTGAGGGGCGCTGCGAGTGGGCGAACTCACTGGCAGAGCTGGACTTGTCCTCCAATCAGTTGACGGAGTCTGTGTTTGAGTGCTTGCCCGTCAATATCCAAATCCTGGATCTACAAAACAACCAGATCGCAAGCGTCCCGAGGGGGATTGCTGAGCTGAAGTCCTTGAAAGAGCTGAATCTTGCATCAAACCGGCTGACTGACCTGCCCGGGTGCAGCGGCTTTCCTGCCCTGGCAGCCCTGAACATAGAGATGAACTCAATCCTCACGCCGTCTGCCGACTTCTTCCAGAGCTGTCAAAGGGTGGGGGAGCTACAAGCAGGGCACAATCCGTTCAAGTGCTCCTGCGACCTGCGAGACTTCATCCGCCTGGAGAAGCAGTCTGGGGGGAAGCTGTCGGGCTGGCCGGGGGCCTACGTGTGCCGGTACCCAGAAGACTTGCAGGGAACCCAGCTGAAGGACTTTCACTTGAGTGAACTGTCTTGCAACACCACTCTCTTGCTTGTGACAGCTCTGCTCCTGACGCTGGTGCTGGTGGCTGTCGTGGCCTTTCTGTGCGTCTACTTTGATGCGTTGTGGTACGCGCGGATGATGTGGCAGTGGACGCAGATGAAGCGGAGGGCTTGGCACAGCTACCCCCAAGAGCAGGAGAACATGCTGCAGTTTCACGCTTTCATTTCATACAGCGAACGTGATTCTTTGTGGGTGAAGAACGAGCTGATCCCAAACCTGGAGAAGGGGGAGGGCTGTGTGCAGCTGTGCCAGCACGAGAGGAATTTCATCCCGGGCAAGAGCATTGTGGAGAATATCATTGACTGCATAGAGAAGAGCTACAAGTCGGTCTTTGTGCTGTCTCCCAACTTTGTGCAGAGCGAATGGTGCCACTATGAGCTGTACTTTGCCCATCACAAGTTATTTAGTGAGAACTCCAATAGCTTAATCCTCATTTTACTGGAGCCGATCCCTCCGTATGTCATTCCTGAATCTCTTTATTGTCGGGGTTTTTCTTTTTGGGGGGGGCAGTGAAATAATACATTTTTGGTAATTTTGACTGATTGACAATGTGTTTCACTCTGTTGTAGAACCGTGTTTCTACATAGTTGTCTATGCTGCCTTCTAGCTATAGGAAAAAATCAGCTTAGGAAAATCTTACTCAAAGTCACTTGAGATTGATACAATAAAGGCAAATCAGAAATGAGTTTGGAATGTGTGTTTTGAAATGCTGCTTGAAATACTGTTGTGAATTTTTCTAAGCAGAATAAAATCTCGAGAAGTTGTTATGGTCGTGTAGAAGCGTATGCTTGAGTTGCTGGAGAGTCTGGAGAGCTGCATTAATCACAAGGCTTAGGCAGCTAGGTCACATGACTTCCGTTGTCAAAATCAGCTTGCTAGAAAGAAAATTACACATCCTGTGAAGATGTCTAGGAACCCAGAGCTGGAGGCAGTTCCTTCATGGAGTTTTCTCAGATTCAGGGAAGCTTAAAAGGAACAAGATTCAGGAAGCTTAAAAGCTTTAGACGTAGATATAGAAATCTATGAGTATATAACATAGGTGGAAAAAAATGGCCATGTCAGAAAAGAAGACTAACTGAGGGGGGAAGTTGTAGCGAGGAGGAGGTAATTAAAAAAAAAAAAAAAGCTGCTTCCCTTTTGGGGGGTTGGTAGTTTGGCACTGCTGGCAGGAGGAAGTGGTGAATTGACAATAAGAACTGTAATCTGAATCCTCTGATGCTGTCCTGGCACCGTCTTGGTCCTGCCAGGGTTATCCTGCCCGCAGGGACTGAGACAGTGTCTCTAGTGACATAACTGCCTCCATCATCATTAGTTATATCTTGAGAAACTTTTTTCTCTACCTATCATGGAGAGGTTTGGTTTAGGGGAGAAGTTAAGAAAGTAGGTTTTTACTGCACAGTGGGTGTAAGGTGCCAGTCATCCTGTCCTTTGTTGTAACCAGGGATAGCCTGCAGAAACCCCCCACTGCCACAATCTAAGATCATTAGCGGAGGGCTAACGTGTAGCCTAGCAGCCTAGACCCGTCAGTCACGTAGAATATTCCAGAAGGAAGGCGGCCGTCTGCAAACATGTTCACGTTAAAATTAGAGATTGAAACTGGACCACTAGGAGCGGGGGCTAGACAACTTTAACCAATTGCTTGCCTGCGGTCCCACAGTGGGACAGGGATAAAAGGGGCACGCGTGAGCCCAGCAGCGGCTTTTGCGGCGGCGACGGAGAGAAGAGAGCTGAATTCACTGAAGAAGAAGCGGCGGCGAAGAAGCAGCTTAAAGCACGGAAGCGGCGGGGAAGAAGCAGCCTCGGTGGCCTTTTCCAAGGCTCCAAGACGCCAGGCCACCTTTTCCAAGGCTCCCCCCCGCCCCACCGAGGGAAGCTTGGTCCAGCCCGGCAGGCTGTGGGCAGCCAGCACCACTGCACCCCCTGATCCGGGACGCTGGGTCAGGCAGCTGGGGATCCCCCCCCCCAGCTCTGTGATGGGCTCAGCTGCCCCTCCCGGGCGCCCCGTGACACTACCCCATGCTTCTAGCTTCCTACTGTTTTTCTACCCATTGACGTATCTCATGTTATGCCTTTGATTAGAAGAGTCTGTCCTTTTCAGCCAAAACAGTATCTTTTGCAGCACAGCTTTAAGCTTCTGATCAGAAAAGCAATAAGCAGCCAGAGGTTGAAAACATTTGCCAGATCTTGGAATAGCTGATGAGACCAGATGTGGCCCCTGTATTGATGGAATCAGAAAGACTAGCTGCATTTACAGTATTTGCTCTCCTATACAGGAATACAGCAGACCCCTTTGCCTGTACTTGTGTTGTTTTGTCGTCAGGAGGATGCAGTTGGACTCAGACAAACATTCACAACTGCTAGAGATCATCACAGCAAACTATCACTGCCCCCAAAGGACAGCTGTTTGCCACCTTGGATACCAGACTTAGATGACCAATAAATTTGCTTCAGCATGGAGAAAGAGGAAGGGATGTTAAGATGAAATCCTAATTTAGTGTAGAAATGCTTTATCTGATTTTAGTCTTTCATTATTAGCAAAAGATTTTAGTTGTGATTGTTTGCCCCAGTTTTAAGCAGGCTGAGATCTCTTGATTGAGATCTTGAACTGTGAGCAGCTATTTAAAGATTTACAGTGAAACGGTCAAATTGAACACCTTTTAGTGCTTTCATCCCACTTAACCTCAATTAATATAATACACCTATTGCCAAGTTGCTATCTCTTTCAGGACTGCAGAAATAAATGTTTTCTGTGCTTCTTCCTTCCCCTCCAACTAAGGATTCAGTGTATGGCTGTCATTTAGTTCTTCAGAAACTGAAGGTGGACAGACTTAATTAACTTGGTGTTCCTGTTCCTTTCACACAGCCAGGAACAGCCATTGTGGCCACATGGTGGCTTGCTTGACAATTCTCTGCAAAAGTCTCAGAGTTTTAGTCTCAGCAGCTCACAAAACTTCTGAAATTCAGCTAGCATTCTCGGTTGTGTGTGAAGCTTTAAGAAGTCATAGGATTCTTCTGTCGGCCAGAGGACGAAGGGATATCCCCTGAGAGTTGCAGGCTGCGCTAGGAAGCTTCACGTTACTCAGATGAGAACACACAGCTGTTCTCAGGAATTAATTATTTCTTTTAGGAGTGGAAGTGTTTAGCAGGAGTTTGCTTACTGCTCTGGAGAGAACTTGGGAGCTCCGTGTACTTCTGGCAATGTACCTGATATGATCATAAGTAGAAATACTTAATTACAGTTTTCCTGTGTAGGTCCAGAGTGAGTGAATAATGTTGGAAAGTGAGTCTTGTAATATGAGGGGGGAGCAATTAAAACTTGTACTGCGAGACCAAAAGCCCACATATTATTACACTCTTGTCTATGTTATGTCCCAGATAATTAGCAAAACAGCTAAACATGCAGTGAATTACTGCATCCACTTTATTTGTCAGATTCCACAGGGGAGGTGATTCTCCAAGAGATTACATATCAGGATATAGATTACATATCCAGACAGTTATCTTGGCCTTTGCCACACTCTGAACAGTTTCTGTAAAAACAGTCTTTAGTCCAAAGAGAAGTTTTTCCCCTATGTGGAGGCCATATATTAGTCTCATATCCTTTATAAGGCTCTTCTCCTGACACTTTTTCTGACGTTTTGGAAGGTAGCAGCCCTTTTCTGTGTACACTGGTGAAGTAAGTCTGCAACTGGTTCTACATGGAAAACTGCAATTGCTAATACACTCCAGCTAGGAGGAAAAGGGATTATGTAAATATATTCTCATGTCAGATACTGTATCAGAGCAGTCCTGGTATTGGAGGAGTCATCTCAGCGGCTAGCAACAATGCCACGTTTACATGCTTGATAGTACCAACATACAAAAGCAAAAACATGGGATTTAGTTAAACTAACACCCTGCAAAACCTAGAAAATGTGCAAATGAAGTGAAAGTGGAAATGTTTTCATATATAAGTATTGTATAGTATAAGTGAGATGATTATCTGATCTATGGCAGAATGGAAGTCCTGATGCACAGTTGGGTTACCCTGCTGAGAGCTCAGCTCTTTTTTAATTTTAAAGCTAAAAATTAGAAGTTTAAAGCATCATCACTGAAACTCAGCTGCAGAGGTTTAGAGCAGGAAAGGAAGCTGAGAGGAGAGGGAAAGAAATGGGACTCCATGGAGGTGAGGTGTTCTGTTGCGGGAAAAGGTTCAAAACCTCTGTAAAACTCATCTGTTTACTCAATGCTTTGGCCTGGATGATACAGTTTTCTTTCAGAAACATTCACTGAGGTTGACTAGAAAGCCTGTTTGTACTCACCACTTGGTCAAGAGGAGGTGGTATTGATAAACCAATACATGAGAAAATCAGTTCTGTGTTTTGCAAGGTGCCTCTGTGTTGTCAGAAATACAGTTTGATTTTCCCCATTTTTCATCCTTGTGTCTATGCCCAAGCAAAATAGGCTTATAATATGATAAAATTTCTGCTTACTTTAACTTATGGTAACATTTAGCACCCATTTTGCCCGCTTGATATGCAGGAGTAAGCTGTGACAATGAAAGAGTAGTGATTGAAGATAAGGTCCTTGAACATGACCAAACACTGACCTAGCCACTTGCAACTTTAATAATTGTATTGACTTTTTATAAGTGTTTGGATGGGTCCAACTGCTCTGGCTATGTTTTAACTCAGTGTTTTGCATGCGTAAGTGCTGTTCTGCAGTTTCAATTGGAGAGACTCTTCACTTCTTTGGGGATATTGTTGGTCCTGAATAGCTTGATTTACCCAGCCCAAGTGTAGCTGCAATTCCTTTCTGGGTGAGCAATCACAATATATAGGCAGAAATTTGGAATGTGCTTTGAGGAAAGGCTATTTGTGAAGATAGGTGCTTATTGGTAGAAATAAATTAATGAGCTGCAAAAAACCAGCAGTATGAACTTCAGAAATGGAGTAAGGTATCTGCATGAATGTATATATGTATATATGCTCGCTACGGAAAGTACAGCATTTAGCCAATACGTTAAGGGTATATAAACAGAAATAACACTGCTTTTTATCTTTTGTGCGTCATACAAAATGACTTCATCAGTAAACTGAGACCAACCTGCAAACAAAGCTTTGCTGAATATAATATTATGCAATGCTCCTAATGAATTAACAGAAATATTCAGAAGTTATCAGTTTTGCTTCAGTTAGTGCCAAATTTTTATTTATGGCAGATTGTTTTTAAATATGCTTTAAAGTCTCACAGAGAAGGGTGATAGGGAAGTTGAACGTATTACAACTAAAGATGTGGCTGCTTTTGCTTTTATGTACCCTCTGTGTGTACCAGAATCAGTTTTGAAGAAAGTTGATGGTGTATTTGATTTTGTAAATACAGCAAAGATTTATGAGTAATTATATTGGGAGTAAAACTGCTTTGGCTTCACGTGCTTTCATTCTTAATTTGATTATCATATTATTGTTCTGCCAACAAGCACTTCAGTCTACTCGTTTCCATAGGGACATGGATTAATGCCCACCAATGGGAACTTCTCCTTTAACTTGGATACAGGACAGTATCAGCTGACAAGCAGATTCTTGCTGCTTATTGAGAAACATTCATGATCCCCAGTCTCATCTCAGGTCACAGATGTCTCAGGAACTTGAGCTACTTAGATTCACTGCACTGAGGAAAGCAGAATGGTTTATTGTCAGCAAGTTTCAGTTCAGACTATCATCCCGCTCGTCAATCTCAAAATGAAAAACAGAAATTTTCTTCCAGCAAAACAAAAGGGTTAATTTCCTCTTTACAGAATGGGAAGGATAATTGCAAAGGGAAGTGTAACAGGAAACTAATGCAAACTTTAAATATATTCAGCACCGCTGTCTTAATTAAATTGTCATAGACAACCTTGAAGGTTTTTCTCAGCTTCTTTAGCTGGAGGCCAGCTCACCTTCACCTCTCCTCCAAGGTGCTGTCTTCTGGAAGAGAATAAGCTTTGGACTGAGCCTAAATGGGCCAAGTCCCCTCTCCCCTTCCCCAGTTTGCTAATACCTGAAGAATTCATTATATACTTCATGAGTTTAATCTTAAAATTCATTAAGATTAAATGAATCTTCAGAACAGAGCCTAGACTCTCAGCTTCTTTCTTCCTTGTTAATTAATCTTACCGAAGCATGTTGTATTCGTTTGGAGGTTTGTGGGAATGAGATGTTGTTTTCAGTTTTTTACATCTGCCTTTGAAATGCACTGAGTCTGTGCTCTGCTGATTTGCTCACCAGGCTCATGCCCCTGCTCAAAAAGTTAATTGAACGACTGCTTAATCCTCCATTCCCAGACAGTTTGTCCTACGCTGGTGCTATATTCTTCATGGTTTCCATACACCTTTCATGTCATAGAGAATATTATCTACAGCACGTTTTTTATAATTCCTTGGTGGAAGTTACAATGTGAGGTTTCCATGATAAACCCCTGAGGCATATCAACCGTCAAGATGTCTGACGTAGGATGTTAAGGTGACTGAACTATGTCAATTTGCCCCTGTAACTAGCTTTTGAGATTTGAGTTTTTGCAGTCTCTCCATGCGCAACATAATTAATCTACTTGCTGAGGAAAATATCTCCTGAGGGGTAGAGCTCTGATTCTGGTATGCAGAGAAGTTGGCTGTGAAAGTTTTGCTTCCTGTTTTCTGTGTGTGTGAAAGGGGAGATGCAGCTGATAGACTCCCAGAACACCTGTGTAACCGTCAGAAAGAGACATAAAATTAGCAATGCAGATTTATTTAAGTGGTCTTACTTTGGTGAAAATTCTGTACAGCAGATAGGTCCGTTTCCTCCTAAATCATTTAGTTACGTAAATGCTGCAAGAGTAAATGTGTTTTGAGTTTGAGCTGTTAAGAATTTTATTTCCTTGAACTCTTAATACTTGCACTCTACTGAAAATGGATGTTTTGTTAGAATTAGATAGCCTGCAAAAATAAATCATTCTACTTCTGGAGGTAGAAATTATTAACTATTAAAAAGGAATTATCATCTCTTGTGAGATGCCTCAGCTTCAAGATTACGTGTTTGAAATTCTGTCTTGAGAATGTAAGCTGAGTATGCAGAAGTCTTTTGCTGGTTCTTTGCTAAGGGATGAATTTCATACACAAAAGGTGGGTTATATTTGCTGCATTATTTAATTTCTTTTCTTCTTGTTATATATGCTTCGGACTGTGTCACATCTTAGGTGCTGCTGTTTCTTTGCCCTTGGAAGATACTCTTGCATTTTGAAATTTCAGTGAAAATGCTCATCTGCATGTTGAATTTCAACAAAGAAAAGAAAAAAAAATTGGAATGGCAATTTTCATTGTCAGTCAACTGTAATTTAACACCGTCATAAAATCATGTTAGATCGGTTATCGCTGCCCCTTAATATTGCTTTGTTAGGCAGGCCTGCTTTATTCTTTTAATTTGGCCCTCCTCAGTGCCGTATAGTGTGGATGCTGCCTTCTTGCAGCGTATAGCATAGCATGCACAGTAAATTAAAACTCATCTGGCAGTAGAGCAGGGAGTCTAGAATGTCCTCCTGTTTTCCCTCCTTTCAGAAAAATTCTTGCTTCGTTCCTGACTTCCCTTTTGCCATGGAGTCCCTCCAGACAGTTCCAGGTCAAAGTTTTTTTTGATCTCAAGAGGTTCATTGCCAGCCTGGACTCTGGAGAACAGGGTCAGCTACTCTTTGAAGGAAGCCGGGCCAGGCTTCCTTGTCTTCATTCGTCCTGTGAGTGACATTGTACTCGACAAACCATCTGAGTGTCACTTTAGTCTGTTCTGCACTCAGATAGCCTAGCCCAACCTTTTGGAAGGACTGTCAGTCCTTTGGAATTTGACTGTCAGTCACATTCTACAGAGGTAGATTTCCCCTTTAGTGTTTTATTCTTTTATTGCTTTTGGTGGCAATAACTACAGATATCTTTGCTTTACTTCCCTGAGGAAAGCTTGATTAAGCTGGATGGGAGATTGGGAGAGGAAGGCATGACTTGTATTATCAGTCCAATCAAATTATTTATGCGCTAGCACACATTATAACCTACAACTGCTAACAACAGGCTTTTGTTTTTTATTAAACAAGAGGTTGCATGGTGGAAGAATTAAAAAACTTTTTATTTTCCAAACAGAATCAGCACAGGAAAAAAATGGGGCTGTTTGTCTCCTGAAAGAG